GCTGCTGGCCGCCAATTTGACCGGCTCCCACAAGCTCAAGCCACTGGTGGTCGGGGGCCTTCGTGACCCCCCCAGCCTCCGCCATCACAACCAGGACAAATTCCCTGCTTGCTACCGCTACAGCCCCGAAGCCAGGTTGGGACCGGCCCTTCTCCGGGCTTGGTTCTTCGAGGACTTTGTGCCGGGTGTCAAACGCTACCTGCGCCGGAGCTGCCTGCAGCAGAAGGCCGTGCTGCTGCTCAGCTCTCCGCCACCCCCTTCTGGGACGGGCCCTGAGGATTCACCCCCACTGCAGACGCCCGACGGCTCCATCCGCGCACTCTTCCTCTCCAAGGGCCCAGCTGGGAGCAGCTCAGCTGGAGGGGGAGGCCGAATCCCAGCCCCTCTGGAGCAGGGGGTGGTGTCTGCCTTCAAACAGCTCTACAAGCGGGAATTGCTGCGCTTGGCGGTCTCGTGCGTGGCCGGTGGCAGTGGCTCCGGTGGTCCCATGGACTTCGTGCGGTCCTTCCTCCTCAAGGACATGTTGTACCTGGCCGGCCTTTCTTGGGATCTCATCCCCCCTGGCTCCATTGAGAAATGCTGGCTGCTGGGGCTGCGCGCCGCCTTCGAGCCCCAGCCTGGGGAGGAAGAGCATGGAGATGCTCCGCGTGGGGAAGAGGGCGGCGGGGACAGCAAAGTCTTTAGTGACCTGACCCACCTGGCCGCGTTGGCCTACAAGCGCCTGGCTCCCGAGGAAGTGGCCGACTGGTTGCACTTGGACGACGCGGCCCCGGGTACGGAGGAGGACGATGGGGAGGAGGATGCTGAGGAGGAAGGCGCTGGGGGCTGTGGGGCAGAGGATGAGGAGGAGGAGGCAGCTGCTGGAGATGGGGGTAGCAGAAGGGGTGGGGAAGGAGGGGACACCTTGCTGCCCACAGCTCGGGAAGCTATCAGAGGTCTGGAGACGGCGCTGCGCTGGCTGGAGGGTCAGGATCCCCGGCAAGTGGGGCCACTCAAGCTGGTGCAGCTCCGCTCCCTCATCAGCATGGCCCAGCGGCTGCCCCCCGGCGGCTGCGCCCACTCATAAGGCAGGGGGACCGGCGACAC